TTCCTTTACTGGACACATGCATCTATGAAGGGAAACTGATCCCAAGGGTTTATCCTGTCCTTTATGGAAATTAAAGTCCCTTCAACTTAAATTGAATTTCTGTCCCTTATGCAAGACTCTAGCTTTAAACGACACTTTCTATTTGATCTCAACCTGTTGGGGTATGCCACCATTCTGACAGACAGCTCCCAGAGCCAGTCATTGACACGGTGCTTCAGTTCAAGTACAACTTCCACAGACTATCATTTGTCTTTCAGGTCTCCATTTGATGATCCAACCAGGGTCAAAAGAAGTTCTTATCTGTCACAACAGATTTCCTTCTAGATTTGAGCCTAACTTGTCAGATGGCTCTTGTGATCCTAGCAGAAACAGGAACAAAGAGGTGAAGCTGGAGCTCACATTTCTCCTCACTTGGTCCACACAGGCATGTGCCTTCATCCAAAATACACTGCACGTTAAAATCTTTATCTGAAGGAGCTGGGAAAAGGGCCAGTCAGTGCTTGCTTTCAACAAGCATAAGGACCTAAATCCAGATCCTGAACACTCATTAAAAAAAAAAAAGTCACAGTAACACACTCATATAATCCCACTGGGAAGGTGGACATAGGAGGATCTCTGGGGCTTGCCAGGAAGCTAGCCTTTCTGATCTGGGAGCTGCACGTTCAGTGGCAAACGCTGTCTCACAAAACATGGTGGGTGGGGAGTAATAAAGGTAGACCTCTGACCTAGCCATGTATACATCATACACTCTTGCACCCACACCTACACACACACACACACACCCCACAATTTTATCTGCAAAAGTACCCGAATCTGTGGCACTCTTAGAAGAAAACATTAGACTTCATTATCTCATTTACCAGAATGTCTTATTCCACTTATGAAAATAAGCCAATCTGCTTGTCTACTTCCATTAAATTCACATAAAATATCTGTGTATACCTTTTTCTCAACTTTTACTTAGTCCATTGAGAATTCCATATCATGTGTTGATCAAATTCACCCTGCTTCCACCAACTCCCTCTAGATCCCCTCTTCCCTACTCACCCAACATTATATCTTTTTTATTTTAATTTTTAAAAAACCCATAAAATACAGTTTGTGCCCCAATACGCACTTGGGCAGGAAAGCAATATCATGAAGAAAAACTAGGCTCCAACCACTCAGTGTAAAACAGACTGAACACAATAGTTAACGGGCACTAACTGTGCCAGATCTACAAACAGCGCAATGTTAATATTTGGCTCGTCCCTCGTTTTCAGAGCTTTCACAGAAGTGGGTACTGCACACTCCGGATTGTCCTCCAGTCCAAGGCTACAATGCCTCTTCTCATCTATTTCAGCAACTCGTCTTCCAGCCCAGCTCCATCTCCTTGTTGTACTTGATCTCAGTCACTTATTTCTCCATCTAGCTTTATCAACCCTTCATCTACAATGAGCCCATCGCTATCCACGTTTCCTAGCGATGTCCTCGAGTTCATCTTCCCGACTTCACTATCTGGCGGAGCATCTCACCTTTTAACAGGTCAAAAGGTCTGCATTTATGTAATCCAACCCGGTCATCAACTCTAGAACTCACCCCTCTCCTATAGAAGGACTTAACGAAGCAGAATGTGTTGTGAAACAAAAAGTCTCTCCATGTCTGGGCTTCATGGAATTCTGTGTGAGGGTGGGCTGATGCTGTGGATGAAGCCAAGGGATTTGAGCATGCTAGACCCTCTATTATTGAGAAAAATCCCCAGCCTGGAATAGTACAGTTCTGTTGTACATTTAACACATTATCTGCCTCAACTTCATAACTATGCATATTTCTTTTTTAAAAAAGATTTATTTATTTATTTATTTATTTATTTATTTATTTATTTATTTATTATGTATACAGTATTCTGTCTGTATGCCTGCAGGCCAGAACAGAGCACCGGACCTCATTACAGATGGTTGTGAGCCACCATGTGGTTGCTGGGAATTGAACTCAGGACCTTTGGAAGAGCAGACAATGTTCTTAACTGCTGAGCCATCTCTCCAGCCCCAACTATGCATATTTCTATAGCCTCAACTAGGTCACTGGGAAGGTGAGGAGTGGGACATGCAAAGACAAGTTAATGGTTTAGATTTTCTTCATTGCTCTACTTTCATATTCTTCGTCTATAAAACAGAAATAAGATACCACTCCATCAAACCACCGTAAGCCCAGCAGAATCCTGATGCAGAGTGGCCTGTGCACAGACGGGGTACAAAGTGAGGCCTCTGGGAGGAATATAAATGCATGTTTTCAGTCCTCAAGGAGAAGAGATGAAATCTCCAGAGGACTCGGGACTTTGTTAGAGCATCCTTTGGCATCTTACAGTATTCTGTAGTGGGTTTTAACTAATTACCTAATGTCTTAATAGAAAGTATGTCTTGAAAACATCACAATGCTCTTTTTCCTAAGCAAGGTTTCATTCTACCCCTCCCTGCAAGGACAAGTACAGAGAACTGGTTTCTAGACCTCCACAAATTCCGAGTCTGTGGATGTTTGTTCCTCATAGTATTTGCATACAGCCTATACATATACTTTATATATTTTAAATACCTCTAGATGTCCCTAGCCCCTACTTCGATGCCAGTGCCATGCATACAGTTGCTATATATACTACATCGACTAGTGAATGCTGACAAGGGAAGAAGTCTCACGGGTTCGGAACATACATCTTTTTTCCTCAAATAAGTCTGATCTGAAATTGTCTTGTGGCACCTGTGGCTACAGATGTCCAATCACATTCAACTGACTTTTTTTTATACCTCTTAGTCCTGTATCAAAAAAAGAACAGGCCAGGAATTTAAGACATTCCAAGCTATAAATGCTTTTGTTCCACCATATTCAAAAATTTCCAACGTGAGAGCCCTTTATGCTCCTCGCCGTCCCTGAGACATTTTAGGAGAGAGATGCAGGGAACCTCAGAAATAAACCTGGACCCATTGATTTAAGAATGAATGTAGAGAGTGAGTGCGGAGGCACACACCTTTCATTTCAACACTAAGGCAGGTGTGTGAGTTCAAAGCCGGCCTGCTCGACAAAATGAGTTCCAGGATGCCTATGGTTATGTAGAGAAACCCTCTCTCAAACAAACAAACAAGAAAGAATGGATGCAGATCATTTACCAAAGACCTCGAAATGCCTGGTCACCTGGTCACTTTCATAACAAATGTACTAATTCACATCACAGAACTGGATAAGACCTCAGTAGTCAAGGACTGTGAACCAGCAGGACGCAGATGGCCCAGATACATTTTTAATGTGGTCCTCACAGCTTTCTTTTTTAATTAAAGATACCTTCACTTAAAAAAAAAAAAGTTCCAAAGACTTCTGCTTTCCTTGAAAGTCTGGCACATTATTCCCACCTGGCCTTATTCTCTCCTTAATCATAACGGGCAGACTCTCCCCCCCCCAAAAAAAATTAATGGAAAAAGTTTGGATCCAAATAAGGTCTTATCTACACGCTGGCTCTGACTTTCTACGAGGTTTGAATCCTGGGTCCCCCAGTAATACACTGAGAGCAATGGTCTGGCTTTATAGTGGCTGTGGGGATCCAGAAAGAAGTGGATAGAAAGTGCCTTCTAGACTATGCCAAGCATGCACTGTCCTTGTTTATCTCCTGTGCTCTGTGAGGTTCATAAACCCTTTGCCAATAATCTATCACTATTTGGCTTCCTCTTCCTCGTGTTACTATGTCACTTGACAGAGTTCATTATCTCAGTTAAAGAAGGTTGTATGTCTCCCTTATCTCATTTACACTCAATAGGTGGGAAAAAACAGATATTAAAAGAAAGCAAAATGAATTGTTGAATGCCGCTGGAGCTTTACTAACCCATTCTACTTGTAATGAAAAAATAAAATTAGTTCAAAGTATAATTACTGCCTTGCGGATAGTCAAGTTCATCCATTAAACATCTGAGGCAGAAAAGGGAAAAAGAAAAAAAAAATGAAGCCTAGTCAGTCCAGGTGTTAGGGGCTGCAACGAGATCAGATTTCTGGTGTCTTTCGCGTGCCCCATTTTTGCAAAGGGTTCTTTGGTACTTCAAAAGAGAACAAGGTTTTTTACATGAACTCTGAAATCTGAGCTTCTGGGACAGTATGCCAGGGCAAAAAAAAAAAAAAAATTACCTCTATCTCCATTGACATATAGATAGAACTCCAGCTCCTAATGAATCAATTAAGTTGGAGGATGGCTTTTCATCACCTCCCAAATGGGCAGAGGTGTTGGAAAACCGCACTTAACGCTGCAGAGGACACAGAGAGGTTAGAAGCGCTGTACGTCGTGAATGCCTTCTATAGCGTTGCCTTAAAAATTCGCAAGTGCTGTTCCTACTCTGGTCAATTTACAACAGAAGAGCCACGATAAAAATCATCTGCTCTTGCTGTTAATTTAATACGAGTGAGATGCAAAACAGAACTGGAAATGGAGGGAAACACGGGTTTTAAATTGGAGTCTGCTTTCTTTTAAGATCACCAAAATGGGAGTGAATTATAATGCAAGACACAATCCGTGGAAAAACTCATCTGGTGGGTCCTTTTAAAAGGCATATCGTGTAGTACATTGTCACTTTTATTTTAAGTTGAATGAAACCATTGTCTGAATACAAATTAACGACTACCAAATTGCCCCAATGTCTTCAATGTATATATTATTATTATTTTATAAAAACAAACAAAATAAATAGAATTTAAGAAACCATTTCTTCTAATACATGTCCCAAGGCTAATGTTTAAGCAAGTCTCCTTGGTAACCAGGAAGCGTAGTGCATACTGGCTTGGGGGAGGGGTTCCAACTCTAGGTTGGTAGAATAAGTAACCTGAGTAGTAACTGCTCCCGCTAGACGACGCCAGCAGAGGCTACATACATCCCCTGAAATCGCAACTCCAGGTCTTGCCGGGGCTGGCGCATCCGCAGCTTCCCACCCTCTCCCTTGGGTCTGCAGGCACTAATCCCGAACCCGTTACAAGGAGAGAGACTGGCTTACCCGATGAGGGGGGAGCAGTCTGCTGGGCTTGATACCCAAGTGGGCAGGCTGACACCTGTCTCTCTCGGAGGCACAATGGTTCTGCTTTCCCCCTTGACTCTGGTCTCAGGGAAACTGCCGCAGCTCCGTCTGCCCGGCCGGGGCTGCAGCAGGGATGATCGCGCGCTCTGGCGTGTGTGGATGCCAGTCTGTGTGCGCGCCAGCCCGCGCGCTCCCGAACTCCCGCGGGGAAACTGTGTTCCCCCCGGCAGAAAGAGGAAGCCAGCCAGCCCCGCAGGTGGCGCGTGCAGCCGGACCCGCTCTACCCTCCCCGCCGCCGGCCGCCAGCCTCCCCCTCCC